TGAACCCCAACCCCTCTCACTCCCTAGTCCCTAACTCCAGACACCTCTCAGGCCGGGCTCCTTTTATAAGCTCTTGCCCAGTTTTTAAATAGCCCAGGTCCGGCCCTCTGCTCCCTGGGATCCTCGCTATGATTGGCTCTGAGCGTTCTTGGGTCCCGCCCCTTCTCTCGTTGGTCCCAATGCAATGCTTGGCCACTGTCCTTCCTCTCCCTGATTGGCTCGGTCCTGCCAGGGCCCGCCCTGAAGTGCTCCTCTCTGCTCGCCCGCCCCGCCCCCGTTTGCCCCGCCCCCACCCGGGCCCCGCCCCCAGGTGGAGATCCTGGAGGGCCGCACCGAGTGCGTGTTGAGCAACCTGCGGGGCCAGACGCGCTACACCTTCGCTGTCCGCGCGCGCATGGCCGAACCGAGCTTCGGGGGCTTCTGGAGCGCCTGGTCAGAGCCTGCGTCGCTGGTGACCGCTAGTGGTGAGGCCCCAGGCGAGGGCATAGGAGGGGCTGGGGAGAAACAACAGCCAAACCTACTGCCCTGACCCCGCTCCTCGCCTCCCAGACCTGGACCCGCTCATCCTGACGCTGTCCCTCATCCTCGTGCTCATCCTGCTCCTGCTGGCCGTGCTCGCCCTGCTCTCCCACCGCCGGTGAGCCCCCCGTCCGGGCACCTGACCCAGAGTCCTCCCCACAGACGTCCCTCTTTTACTGTGCAAACCTAGGCTCAGAGAGGGACAAGCACTTGCCCAAGGTCACACAGTGAGTCAGTGGCAGGGCTGCGATGCACGCCAGAGCAGACCCAGACTCCTGGTAAAATTTTCTGTGCTTGGGAACATTCACCTGATTTTCCTCCTACATTAGTGGCTGCCACCTCTTGGGTTCTTTTGCTAGTTCCTTTGCCCAATGTCATCAACTTTGTCAAATCAACCAGATGGATTTAATATACAGAGTGAAGCCCCTGAGTGCCTCCCTGCCCCTGTTGTCAAGCTCCTCAGACACTATGATCTGACCAGCTGCCTGGAGGTATTTGTATTTCCAAGCACACACCATTCGTTTCACACCCCAAAGCCTTTGCACATACTGTTCCTTCTGCCTGGAATGCCCTTCCTCCCTTGTCCACGAAGCAAATCTTCTAGTTGTCTTTCATGGCCCTGTGCATTTACTTGGTTGGAAACTATGCATCAAGTGCCAGCTATGTGCTAGGCACGGGAGGAGAGTGGAGAACCTGACCTTGAACCACAAAGTCCCTGATCTTGTGGATCTCATAGTCAAATCAACAAGCAAGGGAACCAACAAGTATCTGATTATAAATTGCGATGAGTGATGTCACAGAAACAAACAAGGCACGGGGACATGACTGGATGGTCAGGGCAGTCCCCTGGTGACATTAGAGTAGAAACCTGAAGGTTGGAAGGAAGTAGTCACATGAAAAGTGGGGAGAAAGAAACAGAAAGACCCTGAGGCGGGAATGACCTTGGAACACTGAAGCAGCTTCAAGACTAGTCATATGGCTAGAGCAGTGTGTCAGGAGGAGTAGCAGATGATGAGGTGAGGGAGGTGACAGAAGTTATATCACACCGTGCATTCTGCAGGGTTGTGGGGAGGGGTTTGGATTTTATTCTTAATGTCTTGGGGAACCATGAAAAGGGGTGATGAGGGAAGTGACATCATAGACCTCCAGGCAAAGCCTGGGCCAGGATTAGAGGGAGTATGAGTTAGCGTATATTGAACTCCTATGCATCCTTCAAAACCCTGTTCCAGTTACCTTTCTGTAGGGCCTTGCTGAAGCTTTAGCCCAAGCCCCTGCTCCCCAGCCCTGATGCACCCCTCTGCCTCCATTGCGATCTCAGGGACCAGGAGTTTCTGTGCCCCTGTGACTGGGTGCTGAGGGGGTATGGGTGGATGTTTGGTGACTCGTATCTATGTACTTGTTTCTATTGGCTGCAACAGGGCTCTGAAGCAGAAGATTTGGCCTGGCATCCCAAGCCCAGAAAGTGAGTTTAAGGGCCTCTTCACCACCCACAAGGGTAACTTCCAGGTAGGTGGCCTGGTTGTCCCATTAGGGCCTGGGGTTGCCCTGCTTCTCGCCGCCAAAGCCCCAGGCCTCTGAGCAGGCTGGTGCTGTTTCTTCAGCTGTGGCTGTATCAGAACGATGGCTGTCTGTGGTGGAGTCCCTGCACCCCCTTCACAGAGGACACACCTGCCCCCTTGGAAGTCCTCTCCGAGCGCTCCTGGGGGGTGACACAGGCAGTGGAGCCAGAGGCAGATGATGAGGGGCCGCTGCTGGAGCCTGTGGGCAGTAAGCATGCCCCGGACACCTACCTGGTGCTGGACAAGTGGCTGCTGCCCCGGAGCCCACTCAGCGAGGACCTCCCAGGGCCAGGTGCCAGTGTGGACATGGTGGCCATGGATGAAGGTTCAGAAGTATCCTCCTGTTCATCTGCCTTGGCCTTGAAGCCCAGTCCAGAGGGGGCTTCAGCTGCCAGCTTCGAGTACACCATCCTGGACCCCAGCTCCCAGCTTTTGTGTCCTCGGGCACTGCCCCCAGAGCTGCCCTCCACCCCATCCCACCTAAAGTACCTGTACCTCGTGGTGTCTGACTCTGGCATCTCAACCGACTACAGTTCAGGGAGCTCCCAGGGAGCACAAGGGGGCTCATCCAATGGCTCCTGCTCTAACCCTTATGAGAACAGCCTTGTCCCAGCCCCTGAGGCTCCACCCCTCAGCTATGTGGCCTGCTCTTAGGACACCAGCACGCAGATGCTTGGATATCCAATATGACCCCAAGTGCTTGTGCAAGCCCAAGACTTACTGAACATGACAGCGAGGCCTCCCTCAGGGCTTAGGGGCATTGCTGACCTTGGCTGTCTGCCCAATCCATCCTGCTCAGGAAATCACAAACCTGCAGTATTTGTAAATATGTATAGTTTTTAAAGAATAAAAATATATATACACAGACACACGTATGTATATGTAAGTTTTTCTACCATGACTTCTACAAACACCCTTTAACCCCCATCTTTCCCTGGGCCTAGGCCATAGGGGCAGCAGTTAAAGTCCTTGAGCTCAGTCTGAAATTCTGAACTTGGCAATCCGAATACTAATCATAATTAAGTAAATTAGTCAGTATAAATTACACTAGCTGCCATAACACACAGCTTCTAGGTCTTAGTGGCTTAAGACATTAAGTGGTCTCTTATCTTAATTCAAACAGATGGGCAAACATCTCTGGGATGAGTCAGAGGTCTAGACTCTTCTGGTCTGTAGCTTCATCTTCCCGTAAGGTCACCTTGGTATCCTTAGATGGATCCTCTACATCCTGCCAGTCAACAAGCAAAGAGAGTACAGAAGATTGCACAGGCCATTTTAGAGATTTGGCTTAGAAATAGTCTCTATTACTTTTTCTCACATTTCATTTGCCAGAAATAGTCACATGACTCCAGCTAGAATCATGAAAGGCTGGGAAATGTAGTTTAGCTGTACACCCAGGGAAAGGAAAGCTGTTTAGTGAGTCTTTAGCTAGTCTCTGCCATTAGTAACAATAATTCATAGGGCTTTATTCTGAATCAGACCACGTTTTAAGAAAGCACTCTGATGACACAAAGTGTCATCAAGTAACTTAATGGGAATTCTAGTTTACTTTTAAAAAGTTTGGCATATGGCCGGGCGCAGTGGCTCACGTCTGTAATCCTAGCACTCTGGGAGGCAGAGGCGGGAGGATCGCTCAAGCTCAGGAGTTCGAGACCAGCCTGAGCAAGAGTGAGACCCAGTCTCTACTAAAAAATAGAAAGAAATTAGCTGGACAACTAAAAATATATAGAAAAAATTAGCCGGAAATGGTGGCACATGTCTGTAGTTCCAGCTACTTGGAAGGCTGAGGAAGGAGGATTGCTTGAGCTCAGGAGTTTGAGGTTGCTGTGAGCTAGGCTGACGCCATGGCACTCTAGCCCAGGGAACAGAGCAAGACTCTGTGTCAAAAAAAAAAAAAAAAAGTTTGGCATATGGCCAGGCAGGTGGCTCATGCCGGTAACCTCAGTACTTTGGGAGGCTAAGCCCAGAGGATTGCTTAAGACCAGGAGTTCGAGACCAGACTAGGCAACATAGCAAGTTCCTATTTCTACAAAAATTTTTTTAAACAGTTAGCCAGGCACAGCAGTGCAGGCCTGTAGTCCCAGCTACTTGAGAGGCTAAGGCAGGAGGATAATTCGAGCTCACGAGTTTGAGGCTGCAGGGAGCTATGATTGGGCCACTGCACTCCAGTCTGGGGGACAGAGGAAGATCCTGTCTTCCCCTTCCCCTCTCCAAAAGGCCGGGCACGGTGGCTCACGCCTGTAATCCTAGCACTCTGGGAGGCCGAGGCGGGCGGATTGTTTGAGCTCAGGAGTTCGAGACCAGCCTGAGCAAGAGCGAGACCCCATCTCTACTAAAAATAGAAAGAAATTAATCGGACAACTAAAAATATATAGAAAAAATTAGCCGGGCATGGTGGCGCATGCCTGTAGTCCCAGCTACTCGGGAGGCTGAGGCAAAAGGATCGCTTGAGCCCAGGAGTGTGAGGTTGCTGTGAGCTAGGCTGACGCCACAGCACTCTAGCCTGGGCAACACAGTGAGACTGTCTCAAAAAAAAAAAAAAAAAATTGCCATAACCTAAGAAAGCTGAACATATGCATACCTCATTCTCCACCAGTTCCGCTTCTAGGTATATACCCTAAACACACACACGTACCAGGACATGTGCAAGAATGTTCTTAGCAGTAAAAAAGTCAATCTGATGAATAAATTGGGGTATAGTCACTCAAGGAATTTTATGCAAGAAGGGGAAAGGAATGAACGAAAAAATGTCACTGAATCTTAGTAACAATGTTGAGTGGAAAGAGAAGTCTCAGAAGATAACATTTATCATGAAACTCTTTTTATAAAGTTTAAAATAGCAAAACTAAACATTTTGTTCATTGGGTATTATATGTATGTAATAATAATGTTTTTTAAAGAGAAAGCACTTTACATCCTTTCGGTCTTTGAATCTGCACATGTCCCTGAGGTAAGTATTCCAGCCATGGGAAACTAAGGCATGGAAAGGGTGTCATACACCAAAGCTTAGGGGTGGCCTCCAGAGCTTGAACCCTTGTCTGAGCTGGGGTCACCAGCCTGGGTGTGCCACGGGGTGATTGTCATCTCTCCACCTGGTCGAAAAGTCACCCACCACTCTGTCCTGGGGCCCAGCCCGCCTGGCTCCAGGCAGACCCTGAGGCGGTGCTCCTCTGGACCTGATGCATCCGGCTGCAGCCAGCACTGGGCTGGAAAATACCGCTGTAGCAGTGCCAGATGCAGGGCATCCCCACTGTCAGCCTCCTCCTGGGTCTGGAGGGCCACTATGAGTCCACAGTCCCCGCCAGGCCCAAGCCGGTGGCTGAAGTAGGCAGCTGTGTCCAGAAGCAGGGCGGCCAGGTAGGCGAATTCCTCGGGCCCTGGGTCTTCCGCTAGGTATTCCTCCAGGCCGTCTAGAAGCAGAAGGGAGGGGGCTGGCCCTGGGGTCTCATGGGCAGAGCACAGGAGCCGGAAAAGCTCTTGGGTTGACGGTGGGTACTGGAAGCGGATCTTCTGGAGAAAGGAAAGGGCCAGACTCAGCACAAAAAGCCAGACTTCCCGCAATGGCAACCCTGCTTCCTTGCATACTTTCCTGGACGAGGCTCTCACTCCGTAGACAGCTGGCTCCAGGATGAAGTAGCTCAGAGCAATCAAATATTCTCGTATTCACCCCTCTTTCCAGTACTCATGGTTTTTTGTTGAATCTCTAGGGCAACGTTTCCTCGGAAAACCCGCCCCGAGTCCGATCCCAACCTTCGTCTAGACTAGACTTGAGCTTAGCTGCACCCCTTTAATCACCCCGACTCTACCTTTTGGGCACCGCCTCTAGCTAACATCGCCTAGCTAACACCGCCTCTAGCTAACATCATTGGATAGGCTCTTACTCAATCTTATCTCAACTCCGCATAGTCCCACCCCTCGCACACTCCTGACTCCGCCCCATCATGGCTGCTCAGCTCGCCCTGCCACCGTCCCCACCATTGGCCTGCCTATCTGTCACTCAAGCCCCGACCCGCATCTCCATTGGCTAGTATGCCTCTGCTCCCGCCCCACTGTTACCTGGAGCCGCATTGGGTCGAGCGCCGTTCCAGTCCCGCAGGGCAGGCTTTGAAGAGGCTTCCGGGTCAGGAAGAAGACGGGGCCTCGGCCCTCCCCCGCCGCCTCCAGGGCCGCCGCGAACAGCAGCGCTGTTTTTCCAGAGCCTGGAGCGCCGAGCAACAACAAAGGCGGTCCGGCCTCAGCCGTGTTCTCCTCCCCAGGCCAAGCCCCGCTACTCGCGCTTAGCACCCGCCTCAGCGTCTCCGCCATTCGCAACGTACCCCTGTCCAATCGGTGGCGCGTTCCCAATCTTAATCTCGCCTAAACCGAGGCCTCATTGGTTACAGTACATTAGCTTCGCTATTGGTCCGTGGATCTGTCCATCAAAATTAGATCGACCTTAGCTAGCCTCTCCCCTGGCGGGTGGGCGGGCAAATGGCTATAACCTAGTCTGAGCGTGGAGGAAATGCGGACGTTCGAGGGAGATTAGCCGTTTTCCTGAGGGAGGCTGCTGGGGAAGCAGCACGAACACTATTTTTGTGAGCTAATCAGAAAAATATAAGGGTTGAGAGTTGGAGGGAGCAGGCCCAAACCATTGGCATATTACTTTGCTCACCTGTAAAAGGAGGCGCTGATGGAATAGTGTGATGGGCATGTGTCTGTGTGTGGTTTTGCTGGTGTCACCCAATGACAGCTGAGAGGCAGAGGGTGGGATGCGCTGTGTGCTTGTCTCTCTGTGCACCTGCGTATGGCACGAGTGTGGGTCTGGGGACACAGGCTCAGGACTCGTGTGCAAAACACCAACAGCCATCTCTGAGGGTCAACTGGCCTGGGGGCTTCTTGGGTCCTGCTGGTAAAGGGGAAGGAGGAACCATAGGCCAAAGAAAGGTACAGGAGAGACAAAGAGACAGGGTCTGGGAGATTGAGGGAGAGAGACAGCGGGAACCTTGTTTGTCTGGTTCACTTTCATCTCTCTAGCACCCAGAACAGAGCCTCGCACGTTGTACTTTCTAAAATGTATGCTTGTTAAGTCAATGAAGGAAGGAAGTGGGATTGATGGGAAACTGGGAGCGAGGGAGGAACAGTGAGTGATCGGGATCCCTGGCTGGCTCTCCTCACCCAGACTTCGCCCCAGAGCTGCCACTCACGCCTGTGTTGCCCTGGCAACCTCGTCTCCTGGTAACTTCAAAGTGGTGCCGTTGCCTGGAGACCCAGAGGCAGGGTGGAACTGAGATTTCCTGAGCTTTCTCTCTCTCTCTTTCTCTCTGGCACCAGAAAACAGCTTCACAACATCCCCCAGCACACCCACTCACACAGCTGGGCACCCCCATACCCCTCTACACACACACATACGCACACCCACTCCATGGCGTCTCTGCATATATTCCACTTCCAGAATCCATCCCTATCACCCGCACGCTCACAGCCCTACCCTACTCTGAAAAAAGCATCCTGTACACACTCTGTCCCCCATTCTCACCCCTACACCTTTTCCCTCGCACAACACACTCCAGAACACACTCGGATACACCTATGCCGTTGCCAGTATACACACATACACACACACACAAAATGAGGCACGCTGTTACACTGCACTGTAAAACATAGCACCTAAGTCCCCCCAGCAGATACACAACCCATGGTTCGCATCACATTACAACACTCCAGATGCACAAACACCCAGTAGTGACTCCCACATCTCACAGTCGAGCACAGTTACATACATGGGGGCTTGCTGAAAACAGCCCCGCCTCAGGCCCTTTGCACTTGTTGTTCTCGTGCCTACAGCAGTCAGCTCCCAGATATCCCTTTGGTTCTTTTCTTTCTTTCTTTCTTTTTTAGAGACATGGTCTTGCTCTGTTGCCCAGGCCAGAGTTCAGTGGTGCGATCATAGGTCTTTGTAACCTTGGACTCCTGGGCTCAAGTGATCTTCCCACCTCAGCCTGTCAAGTAGCTGAGACTACAAGCGTGCGCCAGCGTGCCTGGCTAAGTTTGTAAAAAAAAAGTTTTTTTTTTGTGGAGACAGAGTCTTGATATGTTGCCCAGGCTGGTATCAAACTCCTGGCTTCACCAATTCTCCCTCTTTGGCCTTCCAAAATGCTGGGATTACAGGCATGAGCCACTGCATCCAGCTGCTCTGGCTCATTTTTGTCATTCCATTTAGGTCTCTGGTCAAATGTCACCTACTTGGGGAGGTTTTCCCTACCATCTGCTCAAAATTGCACACATTTCAATCTTTCACTTCTTATCTGTTTTTACTTTTCTTCAAATAACATCATTTCCAACGTTATGCATTTAGCTGATGGCATTTCTTCCCACTAGAATGTCAGCTCCATGAAGATAGGGTCTTCGTCTAGTTTTTTTTTTTTTTTTCGCTGCTGGGTCCCTAGCTTCTAGGACAGCACCTAGCACAAAGTCGGTGCTCATCCATGTAGGCTGAGTGAGAACATTCAGAGATAGAGATGCAGACGTTTGGCAAATCCCTTGTGCACACAGTCCTTCTGTCTTTCGCTTCTCAGAATTCTGTCTTCGTGTCTTGATAGAAGGACACTTGCCATAGACTGGATTCATGGGGGACTATAGCTGCCTGCAGGCAGAGCTGGACCTGGGGGAGGCTCGGAGTTGGTCTGTGCCTCTCCTTAGTTTATTGACATCCTAAGTGATGAGTTCATTCATTTAGCAAACATTTTTTGAGCACCTATTGCGTTCCAGGGCTTGTTCTAGGCATGGGGACTCCACAGTGAACAGCAACAGATAAAGTCTCTGTCCTGGTCGAGCTTACATCCTAGTGATGGAGACAGATAATGACCACTAAGCATAACGAGGGATTTAAACAGTGTGTGAGCAGATGATCGGTGTATGTCAAAAAACTTTCACGGAGAAGGGAAGTTGGACAGGCCAGTTTTTTGTTTGTTTTTGAAATTTTGAATGGGGTGGTTGGGGCAGGCTTCATTGGGAAGGTGACATTTGAGAGAAGGCTTGAAGGAGATCAGGGAGTAATTCGTGCACATATGCAGGGGAAGAGCGTCCCAGGTGGAAACACCAGCAAGTGCAAAGGTCCTGAGGCACTGGCAGAAGGTTGGCTGTTACGTAAGCGCCGTGGGGAACTATGAGAGGGCTTTGAGCAGAAGATGGTCATGTTTTGCCTTACATTCTAAACTAGAGCTCTGTTTTGGTCGAGTTGAGTTTGAGATGCTGTGAGACCCACAGGGCGTATAGAGAAGGCTTTTGAATAAACAAGTATATAGGCTTGTCTGTGTTCTATACCTAAGATCATCCATCCTGGGATGGGAGTAAGGCCAAGGCCAGGGCTGCTGTCACCACTCTCCTCAGTGGGACCAGATACTTCATCCCCCAACTTCCCCATTCTCGGCCCGCGATCATCATCATCACCATGGACAGCGCCATCTGGGTTGGGTGGAGGTGCTCTCCGTGGTGCTGAATTTTTACTTCCTTCCTGGCCCGGACGGATGCAGCTGCGTGGCTGGAGGGTCTGTGGGTCTCAGGGGTGTGAGCTCTGGAAACAGGAGCCCTGGCCTGTCAGGCCGGAAGCCCCATGATTCTGTCTCTCCTCTGCCTTCTTCCCTCTCATCCTCCCATCTCATCCCCCCATGGCCCCCCCCACTCCACCATCTCCCCTATCTCTTCTTCCTCTGTCTCCCTCTTGCTCACTCGGCACCAGCTACACAGTCTCCTCGCTGTTCCTTGAACATAGAAGGCACGTTCCCACCTCAGGGCCTTTGCACTTGCCGTTCCCATTCCCTGGAATGCTCCCCACCCCACCCCTACCAGATATTTGCCTGGCTCCCTCCCTCACCTCCTTCACCCCCAGTGTCACCTACTCAGAGAGAACTTCCCTGATCACTCTCTTTAAGTTGCAAACTGTGTCCCTATCCCACAGAATGTCTTTTCTAGCTTGAATTCCCTCCTTATCACATATCAACATCTATTATATCAGAGATCCCAATTCTTTTCCTAAATACCTGATCCCAGACTTTGGAATTCAGAAGTTTTCAGATTTTTGAAAAGCAAGGTGGTGTGAATACTATGTGTTTTGTAACAACCCTAGTTGATGCGTGGGGTAACATCCCAAATGAAACACTTTATCTTCAGAAAAATACAAGGATATTCACGTCAAGTGAATTAAGTAAAAGCTATACATTACCTCGTGTCAGTTCAGGTGAAGTTTTGCCACAAATGCATTACGAAAAGATTATGGTTTTCAGACATCTGTGAGGTTTGGAACTGTGGGTCTGTATATAGGTTGTTTATCTTGTTTCTTGTCTCACATATTAGCATATGAGCTCCATGAGGGCAGAGCTTGTGCCTGTTCTGTTCACCGCTGTATCCCCTCTGCCTGAACAGCACTTATGCCGTGGTCTGAATGTTTGTGTCCCACCCCCCAAATGCGTATGTTGAAACTCTGACCTCTTAGGTGAGGATGTCAGGAGGTGGGGCATTTGGGAAGCGATTAGGACATGAGGGTGGAGTCCTCATGAATGGAACTAGTGCCATTACAAAAGAGGGCCCAGAGAGATCCTTCACCTTTCTGCCACCTATGAGGAAGCAGCAGGCCCTCACTAGACACCAAATAGGCTGGTGCCTTGACCTTGAACTTCTCAGCCTCCAGAACTGTGAGAAATAAATTTCTGTTGTTTACAAGCTACCTAGTCTATGGCATTTGTTATAGCAGCCTGAACAGACTATGACAACTTGGCACATGGGAGGTGCTCTATAGTGTTTGTTGAATGAATGAGGGGAGAAGGGAAGCAGGTGGAGCAGGGGCGGGGACAGTAGCCAGGCCAGCCTGCAGGGGGCACCTGAATTTCATCTGCCAGACACTAGCAGGACCCCTTTCCTGGTCCCTGGATGACTCTAGGCCCTACATGGCCTGTCTGAAGCCCTCGGAGCCACAGTTGGCGGGGGATCGTGTGGCTCCATGCCCCTTCCTACTTCCCTAGTCTCCTCTGAGTTCTCAGGTGGTTGGGACTCAACATAACCTCATGAGCAACTTCTCTGCTCTCATCCACGCAGCCAGGTGTTCAGCCCGAAGATTCCTAGTGCCCGGCAGCACGCCCCTTCATTCTCAGGTCACCCAGGGTCTCCTCACCCTATTCCCTGTGCCCTCTGTGCCCTGGCTGTGATCAGAAACAGGCCAGCTGCCTGGGATAAACAGGCATGTCAGGCCCCTTGATGCGTGTGTGCCTTAGTGGCTTGAGGGGCTGTCTCCATTCGACAGATGAAGAAACAAGAGCACAGCGTAGTGAATT